ATACCTCCATATTTTCATACTCCATACCTCCAAAGATCCATACCTCCATACTCCATTCTTCAATACCTCCATATTCCATACCTCCATACTTCATACATACATACCTCCATATTCCATATCTCTATACCTCCATACCTCCATACCTCCATATTCCATACCTCCATATTCCATACCTCCATATTTTCATACTCCATACCTCCAAAGATCCATACCTCCATACCACCATACTCCATACCTCTATACCTCCATATTTTCATACTCCATACTTCCAATGATCCATACCTCCATACTCCATTCTTCAATACCTCCATACTCCATACCTCTATACATACATACATCCCTTTTAAATAAATAGTAGAAGGTGGAAGCTTTGAGATGGAAAAGAGGATTGGCCAAACTGAATCCCTCTCTGATGGTGTGGAACCCACCATGCATCTGGGATACTTTTCACACGACGCAAGGGGTTGTGCGGTCCCTTAAGGAACGCCAAGTTCTTAGATAGCGACCATGTCCAAGGGAAAACCTCTTGGGAGCAAGGTTCACTTTATCTCATCTTCCCAACTTTGCTGTCCTCCCGAATCCTCCCTGGCTGTGAAGGAGTTCTGGACAGAAGTTCTGGACAGAAGTGTCCAGAAGTGACACGTCAGTCATCCATCCAAAATATTTATGACGTTGTTCACTTCTACCAAGCTTCAACCTTGGGGTGGATCTGGATTACTATTTGTGGGTGGGATTAGGAGAAGTACCTTCAAATCCAGGTTGAGGTCATGATCAAGACGTTTCCATCACTGTGGCCAACTCGTGTCCCTCCTTGGTATTGAGATCAAGGAGAAGGACTGACCAGATGGGCTCAGGGATTAGAAGCACTCCTCGACTTATGACCAGAATGGAGCCCAAATTGTCTGTCGCTAAGCGAGACATTTGTCAAGTGAGTTTTGCCCCCTTGTATGGCCACTATGGGGAAGGGAATCGTTGCGGTTGTGCAATTAGTGACACGGTCATTAAGCGAATCCAGTCTCCCCATGCTCAACTCTCATTAAGTACGAAGTGGTTTTGCCAAGCGTCCCAATTTGGATCACATGTACGTAGGGATGCTGCAATGGTCTTGAGCGCGAAACACAGCCATAAGTCTGTTTGTTTCAGCACCATTTTAAATGTGGTCACTAAACGAACTGTCATAAGTTGGGGATTTCCTGTAGCTGGTTCCTTATTAACCCAGGGAAGGTTTTCTTCAATTCTTTGGCCGAAGTGATAGCGAGAAATAACCTTGGGGTCTCTGGAATCGCAGAAATGCTACCCCATAACCAATATAAAGAGGTCAAATGTTTATTATGGCATAATATATATATATAGTATATAGCAGTGGTTCCCAAACTTTATATAGTATATAGCAGTGGTTCCCAAACTTTTTCAGTCCACCACCCCCTTGGTGCTACAAACTCATCCTTGGTGCCCCCTCACCCTTGGGTGGGATTCAAATTTATGTGGGCGTGGCCTAGTTTGAGGGTAGAAGTCCGGCTTTCTATCTCTCTCGTTCCATGGCTCTGGGCGTCGCTTATTTAGCTTACTGGGTGAACTGGAGGCAGCGGCGGGCCGGGAGAACCGCCCCGCCGCGGCTCCATCCCGTCAGCCGCCGGGAGATTTCTTTGCAGCCGGCTTGACCCGGCCCAGGTGGGGACCTGTTGCGGCTCGGTGCAGGCAGCCTTCCGGGATGGGAAGGGTGAATCCCGCCTGCAGCGATGCGCTGCACTGATTCCCTGTGCCTGCAAAAAAAACCTCCAGCCGCCGCACGCAGCGTCTGGGTGCTTTTTGGAGCAAAAATTACCAACTTTGATTGCTCTGCTTCTCCAACGCGCCCCTGTGGCCGTCAGCGATTGTTGTGCATGGGTGCGATGTCGTGTATGCGTAATATGGACTGGCTGGCCAGGGAACGGAGGAGCGGGCGGACAGGAGCAGAGCTAGGCAGGGGCTCGTTTTATCAGCTCTCCAATTACCAGAACGGTAATGGAACGGTGGAATCCCACCCCGGGTTGCGCCCTGCGAGGGGGCCGCCTCCAGCGCCCCCCTGGCGCCTCTTAGCGCCCCTCTGCTGGCCCCCTTGGCTCTTAGCGCGCCCCAAGGCATCCCACCGCCCCCCAGGGGGAAGTACCGCCCTCTTTGGGAACCACTGATTTAAAGTTTTTCTTATATTATTATTGTTATTATTATTGTTGTTGTTGTTATTATTATTGTTGTTGTTGTTGTTGTTGTTCCTGTTCTTGTTGTTCTTGTTGTTGTTGTTACACACAAAAATGACAGTAAACACAGTAAATGAGAGAACCATGCTGGGTTTCGTATCACAAATCACTAGTCAAACACTTCCCAAACGTTTAGGAATTATTATTATTAGTAGTATTAGTAGTAGTAGTAGTATAGTATTATTGTTGTTATTGTTGTTGTTATTGTTATTACACACAAAATGACAGTAAACACAGTAAATGAGAGAACCATGCTGGGTTTCGTATTACAAATCACTAGTCAAACACGTCCCAAGCGTTTAGGAATTATTATTATTATTAGTAGTATTAGTATTGTTGTTGTTGTTGTTGTTGTTATTATTGCACACAAAATGGCAGTAAACACAGCAAATGAGAGAACCATGCTGGGTTTCGTATCACAAATCACTATTCCCAAGCGTTTAGGAATTATTATTAGTAGTAGTATTGTTGTCGTTATTGTTATTGCACACAAAATGATAGTAAACACAGCAAATGAGAGAACCACGCTGGGTTTCGTATTACAAATCACTATTCCCAAGTATTTAGGAATTATTATTAGTATTAGTATTATTGTTGTTGTTATTGTTATTGCACACAAAATGACAGTAAACACAGCAAATGAGAGAACCATGCTGGGTTTCGTATCACAAATCACTATTCCCAAGCGTTTAGGAATTATTATTAGTAGTAGTATTGTTGTCGTTATTGTTATTGCACACAAAATGATAGTAAACACAGCAAATGAGAGAACCACGCTGGGTTTCGTATTACAAATCACTATTCCCAAGTATTTAGGAATTATTATTAGTATTAGTATTATTGTTGTTGTTATTGTTATTGCACACAAAATGATAGTAAACACAGCAAATGAGAGAACCATGCTGGGTTTCGTATCACAAATCACTAGTCAAACACTTCCCAAGCGTTTAGGAATTAT